GAGAGGAGTTCATCAGTAGGACTCCTGTGTTGTTTTTGTTAATTTTCATCAGACAACAGTTGCTCTCACTGGTTTGTGCTGCTGAACATGGAGAGCATCTGAGCAGCTTGAGCTGGGTCTGTGTCGGGGAGGACAGATAGAAACAGCAGCAGCCAGGAACTCTGACTTGAGTGTGTTACTTCACTGGAGCTACATCCGTCTGGCTGTTGGTGCACTTTCTATGTCTGCCGCGGCCCGCAAACAGGTTACTGAGCTGTAGGAATCTCCATTTCTGGGCCTCAAAGTTGACAAAGTGCTGAGGGAACTTGGCGCTGAGTAAAATGCGTGTTTTTAATTTGTCCCAAACTGAGGAGGGTAACGCTGCAGACGTCGATACTAGCACGAACGCTAGTGACCACAAACAGAAAGGAAGGGTGCTTCGGCTGACGCGTTGATGCCATAAAGCACCATGGATTTGTAGTCTTTGCAGGAAAATGAGCTGGCGGGCCACTCTGGTTCAAGGGGGGGAAAAAAAAAATAATAATAAAAAAATCGATCTTAGGCCTAATTAATCGATTTCACAAAATTTATAAAATCGATCCAAAATCGATTAAATCGATTTTTTTACCCAGCCCTAGTTGCGATAGAAATCCTATTCTCAACTTGACTTTAGAAAGTAATGAATTAACGTGAATGTCAAATGCAAGTGTGCTGTCGAGCCAGATACTTACAGGAACTGACAAGTTATAGTTCTGCACCATCCAGGGAAACGGTGCTAGGGTGAAAAGTTGATTGTGGTAAGTTACGGTTGAAGATCATGAACTTTGTTTTACTTGTGTTTAAATGAAGATGAAGGTTGGAGAAGGCATGTTGAAGACAACTAAAGTTGGGCAGCAAAGAGGACAATGTTCAAGGAAGAACTGCATGCATATAAAATGGTGTTGTCAGCAACTGTCAACAATGTGAACAATGTTATTAATATTTTAAATGAGGTTGGGCCCAGTATCAACCCTTGAGGAACGCCCATAGGAGGAGCAGATTGATAACCCTCTAAGGTACAACTTCTAAAGCTGGGCGGACACTGTGCGACTTTTTCACTCGTAGCACTCAGCTTCTGTTCAAACTGTACGACTTCCTCGCAGGGCAGATCTCACGAGTCATGTGCTCACAATGTACGACCCAGTTCTCAGATGCGACCTGACTGCTCACACTGTATGTCTGGTAGCAACACATCGGACCTAAAAATATGCTAAAAATAGCAGTTTTTACCAAGGGCGTCAGTTTGTTTTCAGAATTGCTGGGGACAATAACCATACACTTGAGTGGGGTTTAAAAATTGCTGGGGACAATAAAGTAGGCTAGCACAGGGGTCGGCGGCTCTGTAGCCGCATGCGGCTCTTCCATCCATCTGATGCGGCTCTCTGTGCTTATAAAATAATGAATGAATATTTAAATAAAAAGCTTTATATTTTACTGCATTAATTTTACATCTGTATGCTAATTCCAAATGTAAAGATTGTCTGCGTAAACCTGAACAGGTCAACCCGGTCTTACTGTGAGACCGGGTTGACGCGTCACGCTTGTGCGTAATCATATGCGCTTCCTGAGCTGGAGGATGTCAGATTCTGGGATTCTCCTCAGACGGCTCCTGGATGCGTCGCCACATTGGAGACAGGAACAAGCACTATTCAGCCAAAGTTTCATAATCAGGGAACATTTTCTAAGTGACAAATCTCTCTGAGAGACAGGGTTTGGAAAACACTCGCTTCAGTGGGAGGAACCTTCCCGCATGCGCTCTGGTTCTGAGAGCCTGGATTTGTATTCTGAACAGTCTAAACATGTTTTTAAAAGAAACGTATGACAAAAGTGGCACCTGCTCAGTAAAACCACCAACAGGGTGAAAAATATCAAAATATTGTGTAGGCAGAGACGGGCTACAACTTCTGGATCATCTTTATATAAATCGTTTTATGATTATCTTCTTATGAAAGATAACTTTGACGTACACGAGCGACCAGGCGCGTTGCAAGATTTTCTAAAGTGTGGGAGATGTTGTCTGTGCCTAAAATAATTTGATGTTATTCACCTTGTTAGTTTAATTTCCATAATAGCGGAGCAGGTGCGAATTTTAGACGCGTCACGCATGTCTCCGTTTTAAACATGTTTAAACTGTTCAGAATACAAATCCAGGCTCTGTCTCGTTAGATTGGTGTAACTAAAGTTTGTACTGAATGAAACTTTACATTAAACCATGTTGAAAAGAAAAGGATCCGATTAAATCGTTTCCCCTCATTTTACAGTCGGTACAGCGCATTGCGCGTGGCTCTGGGGTTAATCAAGTTTAGTTGTTTCTCTTTGCAACAATCTTCACAAGAAGGCAAAACAGTTAAATGGCAGGTTACAGATATTTCCATTTGACTGTATTTTGATGGATAAACTCAAGGATGCTGGCTGTTTTGAAAGAATTACCCCGACGCACACTGATGCGCATGGATGAGCTTGGAAAAATTTTCTTTTTATGAAATTATTAAACTTTGGCTGAACAGCGCTTGTTCCCGTCTCTAATATGGAGACGCATGACGCATCCAGTCTGAGGCAGAACAGCCTCTTCAGTTCAGAGAGCACCTGTAGAGACATTTGATCACGCACAAAGTTTATGTGGATCAAAAGCGGTCGGGCCACGGCAGGTGAAACGTTCCTAGCCTACATGAAGTGAAACTGTTTAATTGTAACATTAATATGTTACTGGACATGCTGGTCTGGTTGGTTAGACCAGTGTTTGAAGTGGAAAACACACACACACACACACACACACACGCACACGCACACGCACACGCACACACACACACACACACCAATTAAAATAATGCTGATAGCGTGGACTAGAAGACAGGTGATGGTTTTATTTAAATGATGATCAGGCTGCTGTAAAATGTAATCTCCATCCACATCCAGACAGAATGATCCTCTATTCTATTTGCTCTGCTCTTCTCTGGGCTGATGTAGCTGACGGTGCGCGCGCGCCTAACAGCTGTGGTGCACATTTTACGCATTTGGAGAGGTGGGCTGGATGCTTTTCTTTTACTGGAAGATGGTCCACTTAACGCACGGGTGTAGACTACATATTAATGACAAATGAATGAAAATTAAATTGGGAGTTTTTACTTCATATTTTAGAAATAAAAATGACGGGGGAACACATTTATGACGTCTTTTTAAACGAAATTTTCTAGCGCGTCCTGCCTGCTTCACTAAGTCACTGCTTATTAAGGTCCGTCCAGAATTACCGTGGCCCACCCAAAAATGAAAACCTGGCGCCGCGCCTGTTATAAACCTCTGCAAATTGTTGTTCTTCACGTTATCAAACTCAGACTTTGTACAGCTAATGTCAAGATGTAAAATTATGAATTCAGTCGAGCTCTTCCGTCCCTCCCTCTCCTGCTCTCCTGGAAACCCGACATTGGCTGTCAGAAGCGGAGGTGAAGAAGGAGATGAGGCAAACAGAGTGAGTGCGACATAAAGAAACCAGACTGGCATGGAGGTGAGCAAAACAGAAGGAAAGGTGTGGGTGTTGAATCCCCCACGGGTGCGACGCCCATGCGAGCGACCGGTACCTGTTGCTGTCACCTGGTTGTGAGCAGCTCTCTGCTGTCTGAGGGTAGGCCCCGCCCACAACTCCGCGGCTGCTGCGGTGTTTTCTTTACTGTGGGAAACGGGTAATAATGGCTCTTTGATGGGAACAGGTTGCCGACCCCTGGTATAAGATCTGAGCTGGTAAAACAAAAATCCTCATCAGCAGGCTTTTTTAAAGTGGGGGGGACACAGCTGCCAATCACAATTTTTGCCGGGGACATGTCCCCGGCGTCCCCGGTTAAAATGACGCCTATGGTTTTTACACAACACGTCAGACTTTTTTGTCTTGTTTTGCCTGTTGTCCTGCGGGAGTGCTGCAGGAGGACACACAGGGATTTATGGGGGATGGATGAGGAAAACGAAATAAAGAAAGTAAATCTGTGTTTTGTGATCAGTTTGATTTGACATGAACACGACAAACACGCTTTCTTGACAATCTTTGTGAGTAAAAAAATGTGTAGAAATGAAAACGAACAACGTAATATTAGGGAAATAGCGGGCGAGCGGTGTCGATGCAGGATTGCGCATGCGCCGTGAGCGGTTCTGATACTTTTTGGGTTGCAGCAGCTCGCTGCGTTGCTTCAACAGTGCGATACCCTCACGAGGGACGAGCAAAATATCAAACATGCCAGAAGTTTGTGCGAGCTCACGATTGCTGATCGATAGCTGGTCATGTGGTGTTAATCAATCAATCAATCCTTTATTTATAAAGCGCCTTCCGCAACCCTGTCAGGAAGCCCAAAGCGCTGAACATGGTTCAGTTGAAGGTAAATATATTGAATAAATCAAAAATAAAAGCAATTCAAATTACAAAATACAAATTACAAAATAGGTGAAACATTTTGCTACAGGACAAATGTGTAAAACAATGGATAGAGTGAACCAATGAAAACTGTGGAAATAAATTCAACATAAAAGAGGGTCAAAATCAAACATGTTCTGGAAACGCCAAGTGGAGGAGGTGTGTTTTTAGGCGACTCTTAAAGACTGGCAGGGATGGGGACAGCCTAACTGAGGGTGGCAACTGGTTCCATAGTGACGGTGCTAGGACTGAGAAAGCCCGATCCCCACGGGTACAACACCTATAACGAGGGACAGCGAGCACTGCAGGCCTTGGTCAGAGGAGCGCAGAGCGCGTGATGGGGAGTGTCTGTTCAGGATCGTGGCTAGATAGGGGGGACCACCACCTCTCGTAACCCCCTGTATACAACACGACGCTCAGCGCAAAACTCGCCCTGATCTCGTGGATTCTCGCACGAGTGGAAAATCGGCTCAAAAAAGTGAAAAAGTCGCACAGTGTACGCCCACCATGCCACGATGCCTGAGAAGAAAGTCCTACAGAGTCAAAGGCAGCAAAAAATGATGACAGTGCGCCTATTCCCCCATACCTGCTTGTTTTGACCATCATTAGGAGTTCTGCAGCCCTTTCCTTCCTTGAGGTCAATGCAGGTGGGGTACCACGCGCGTGTGTTTTCTGACCTCCATTTCTCTGATTGTGTGGCTGCTGCTGCTGCAGAGAGGCTCCCTGCTGCTTCACTCTGACCTAAAACAAAAGCAGGAGGCGCCATAATTCTCCTCTCTTTATTGGTGTTGTCAGCAACAAATAAAACGTGTCCGAACTTGTCTTTGTAAAAATCGGTCACATCTTACCGGAGGGTTGGCAGTTCTGTAGAATCTCCCCTTCTTGGTAACAACTATGTTGAATTTAAAGAGAGCGTACAGGACGTTGGAGAAGTTGGGGTGTTTCCCTCCTTCTCTGTGGACGCGGGAAAGGAAACATTAAAATAACATGCGTGAAAACTCTGCGTGACCACGCGCGTGGAAGCTTACCTGTTCCTAAACTCATTGTTGTAGATTTCTCGAAGTTGTTGTTTACTTTTGTTTGATATCCGGTCTCCAAGAAAGTCAATGAACCCCAGCCCAGCTTCCAGTGAGTGTTTGAGGCTCTTCGGCATGTCGACGCACTACAGGCCCCAGCTGACTGTTCGGGATAGAAATTTCAACTCACCGTTTCTTCAAACATCACAAATTAAACACAGAGAGGTTCTACACGTGCAGAAAATCTAAGCAGGAAGCCGTTCCCCGCAAATTCAACGCTAGGGAGTGTGTACAACTTCCCTGTATTGGAGAGAACGGAAATAGCTCGTAACAGACGGAAAACGTAAAGGAAATAAATTATTTTTCAAACAGAGATTATATGTTTAAATTTTCAATAAAGTACACACAACTTGTTCTCTTTCATCGTCTAGTCCTTTACGTACATTGGTATTGTCAAATCTGAAAATGTTGACACTCCCTGCCGTGAAGTTACTCGGCATCATTCGGGCGCCGGCCCACATAGCGGCGCGGCTCGAGCTCGGCAGTTACAAACAAGCGTGTTTAAACACCAAGACGGAAATGTCGTCGTGATTTAATTAAGCAACATATTAGGTAAAATAATAATAGCCGCTGGCCGTGTGGTAACGAATGGGCACAATCGCTGTTTATTACTTTTTGTCGATTGGGTCCCATCCTTATCGTTCAGCCGGCGCATGACCCGGCTAGAAGCGGAGTTGCCAGATCTCGCGGGAGAAACCAAAGACCGTGGGAGAAACAAGCAACCATCCATCTGCATCTGCAGCAACAAAATGAAGGACACAAAAACCCACCCATCCATCCATTTTCTGAACCCGCTTTGTCCATTTATGGTCGTGGCGGGGGGGGGGGGGGGGGGGGGGGCTGGTGCCTATCTCCAGCGGTCAATGGGCAATCAGGCGGGGTACACCCTGGACAGAGAGCCAGTCTATCTCAGGGCAGACACAAAAACCCATTAATTTAAAAATATCACTTGCTATCATTCACCCTTTACACTAGAAATAAAACATTACTTAATCAACCTTCGTTTAAAAAAATGTTAAATAATATTTTGTAAACCAAAACCTGATGGCTATGATATTTTCTGGTTAGAAACCAAAACTCCCCAGTCTATGTGTGCTTCATAGATGCATCTAAGACATTTGATAGAGTTAACCATAGGAAACTATTCATAAAGCTGCTGCAAATCAGAATCAGAAAATATTTATTTATCCTCAAGGGGCAATTTAAAAAAATAACAGCAGAGCAGCATGATGTTTGACATACGAACATTGAATAAATAGGCAATAAGGAAGTAATAAAGCAGCAAGAAGATGGATAAAACAGAAAAATATGCCAAAAAACACTGAGATGGATAAAACAGTAAAGTATGCAAAAATCACTGAGTAAGTGAATAAAGTGACTAAAGTGTCATCTGTTGAGAGCCCAAGGAGCGGGTTTATCGGGGGATGGTCTTATCTTATCTGCTGGAGAGCAGAATGGCTTTGGGGACAAAGGTGGCCCTCCTCCTCTCAGTCTGGTCTTGCAGGAAATGCAGCGTATAGGCGTCGCCCAGAGGGGAGCCATTGAAATGCGGGGTGAAGAATGTGAGAGGGGTTGTGGAGGATTTTGGCTGCCTGTCTCAGGGCTTGTTGACAGAAAACCTGAGCAAGACTTCTTACAGGCAGGCCAACGATTTTGGAACACACTGATGCAGTGTGCTGCAGTCTGTTCCTGTTCTGTAAGAGAGTAGGACCAGCAAGTGATGGAGAAGGTCATGATGCTTTCCAGGAAGGCACAGTAAAAAGTCATCATGACTGAGGAGCTGACTCCAAAGGAGTTGAGCTTCCTAAGGGGATATAACCATTGATGGCACTTTCTGAGAATCTCTTCTGTGTTAGCAGAGCATTTCAGGAGGTTGTCAAAGGTGGTTCCCAGATACGTGTACTCCTCCACTACCTCCACTGGGTTCCCGTGGATAATGGTGGTTACTGAAGCAGCCGGATCCCTCTGCCTCCTGCAGAAGGTCACCACCATGTCTTTGGTTTTGCTCACATTCAGTTAAAGTTTGGAGCTGTCACACCATTCTACAAA